GCTTCCCTTTTCCCGTTTAGGACACCTCATGTTTTCCTCTTTGTGGAAGGTTAAAATCCACAAGAAAGTGAAGTTCTTTTTTTTTTTTTTTTTTTTTTTTTTTTTTTTTTTTTTTTTTTTTTTTTTTTTTTTTTTTTTTTTTGCCTGATGGAGTTAACACTCACGATCATATCCGACGACCTTCATCCTTGATTTTGGATTTGCAGTGGTGTGATCGATGACAACATGCAAGGATCTTGATCATCTTTTGTTGAGTTGCTAGTTTGTGTCCCTTTGGAGTTGGTCAAGTTGTTTAGGATAGACTTGGTACGTAGTAGGAAATGTGGGTCTTTGTTTGAGGAGATTGCGATGAACTCAACCTGTCGTGAAGTTGAGGTCTTGTGGTTGTTATGTTGTTTTTCTATCTTGTTGGAAGTGTGGATGGTGAGGAACAAAAGAATTTTTAGAGGATTGGAGGGTCTTCATAAAATCTTTGGGAAGGCGCAAGGTTTAAAGCCTATTTGTGGGCGTCTTTTGTTGGGCTTTTTTGAATTATCAGCTTAATACTTATTATTCTTTTGGATTGGAGCATGTTCTTATAGGTTGTTGAGGGGTTTTTTTTTTTTTTTTTTGTAGATTGTTTTTTGTATGCGCTTGTACACTCTTTCATTTCTCTCTCAGCTTATGAAAAGCAAAGAACCATATAAATTTTTCATTGTATAATCTTTCCAACCATATATTTTATTGCAGTCAAATTAGGGAACATGTTGAACAAATGAATCTTCCTCTTCACTCTTGTGGAGATGACACGATTCAGTTTTGTAGATGCCTAGCTGCTTCCTTTTTCCTCAACGTAGCCACAAAGCAGCCAGATGGAACATACAGGTATTCATCTGTATGTCTCATGCTTGTATCAATCTCTAATCACGCTTTTTGTAACTTGGGCTTTTGGATTACTCTAGAATAAAGGCCATTCTGGGTCGTGTTTATGATACGTTCTTCATGTAGTTCTAGTTGTCTTGTTAATTTTTTTTAATTCTATCTCACACATGACAAAAAATGCAGGGATTGTGCTAGTGGTGAGGTGGTACAGATTCATCCCTCTTCTGTGCTATTCCGCAAAAAACCAGATTGTGTAATTTTCAACGAGTTCGTGCAAACTAATCACAAGTACATCCGCAATATCACTAGAATTGATCGACTTTGGCTGTCTGAACTGGCTCCGCATTATTATGCACTGCAAAACTAAATTGATGTGTCTACGTTCACATAGGTATTATTGTATTACTCCATTCTCTGCACTGTCTTGTAATTATTTCTGTAAAGAGTTTCTTTTATTCTTGATTGGCTGGAATGCACTCGGTTTTTTTTTTTTTTTAGGCAGTGAAGATGACCTGGTTGCATTTTAATCGAAGGAAATGAAAGTAATATAATGACGGTGGGAAAACAAGAGAAAAAATGTGTACGAAGGTCCAGAGAGAACAACAATGATATAAAATGTTTCTCTAGTCTACTATAATATATAGCATTGACTTTTGAGGTTCTAGAAATAGTAAATGTTTGATACTGGGAAATATTTCTCAATGTCATGTCTCTCATATGCATATTTCAGTTCATTGGCTTTCCACATTGGACAGCTCCACTTCCAGAGAAGGTATTTGAAGTTCAGATAGGATGCCTTTAGCATTTTAAAACTTTGATGGAGAATGAAGCGAGATTTCCTGTCACTTTCGAAAAGTGTTTGATTTCAAATAATAATTTAGAATGAGCTAATTTTTTCTCGTTTTGGTTGATTACTTTCTTTTACTTCTTCTGGTCACGTATCTCCCTCTCTCCCCCTCTCTCTCTTCCAATTTGATAGTTCATTTCATTTGGATTCGAGTACATTTTATTGGCTGCGGATGCTTATACTCCATTTTTGTATTTCTTGAATGAAGGTGCCCAAGATGTGGAAGGATCGACTACAAGGGATAGCCTGAGGTGGGTCATTCATTTTGAATTTTATACTGCTATTTTCTTTTCCATGTAGTTCACCGCTGCCTGCCATTTTCCTATTTATTTTCTTCTCAATACCTTCTCTCATTGATCCATGCAACGTGCTTATGTTTGAAGAACTGTTCCTCGTAACGTGGATTTACTTTTGTTTCAACCACCAGGAACTCCTCAAAAGAAAAGGAGGCAGTTAAAGGGAAACCAATTCTCTTTGCCAGCGTACGTGCTTGTCTAGTGCTCTCACTCTACGAGATATTGTGAAAGTTGGCTTATCTTCTATGACTAAAGGGAAACAAGAAGACATTCTTACTGAATGTATCAACATGAATGACGATTGATTGCCCTTCAAGAGAATTAGCTAACACCCAACAATTTGGTATGCTTCTGATTACTTACGATCAACCTTTTCTGAGAAAACCTACCTTCCAATGCTCTAAAACAGGGATGTCACTCTGCATTGCCATGGTTTTCAAGTGGTCATGTGTAATGTTTGTTTATTGAAATTTTGTTTACTGTGGCAAATGAGTACCCCCATTGAATTTACACAGTTTTGACCTCCCCATCTTCTCGAGAGGCTGAGAAAAGTAACGAACAATTGTCGGTAGCTGCATTGCCGTGGAGGATTCACTATGGGATATAGATATCATTCTTGTTGATTCAGATTCGATTAGGAAAAAAAAATTATCCTCAGATTAGTAGAGATTCATTGCAGTAATCTTCTCAGCAGGGTCAGCTTGAGTGACTAGGACTGCCATTGTTGATGTACTATTGTGTGGTTGTTCATTAAAATTGCAGGGGGGCTAGAATATAAGAGATTAGTGTGTGTGTTTTGGTGTATTGGAGACTGAGATTTTTCATTTCTATTAATATCTGAAGTCTTATATTTTTGTTATAAGTTAATTAGGTGTATAAAGTTGAATGTTGGATGTAAATTTGAGACCGAGAACATTATATATTTTTTTATTTAATGACTTCCCATCTTAGATTTAAAATAATGATTCTTTAGTTATATATATATATATATATATATAGTTTTGTTTTAGTTGATTTTAAAAGCAATCAAAATTCCCACATTATTACTCTTCCAAACCTACTTGTATCACTGATTTAATTGGTTTATCAACTCAACTCATGTTATGGATCTTGTTTCGTCCATAATTTTTCGTTTTAGTCTTGATTTTAAGCCATTCAAAGAGTGTTTACGTATAATGCATCAATAAAGGTCATACTTATTAAACCGTCCTACAAAAGTTTAGGGTTTAATTTTCTCCGGTTTTGAATTAAAAAAGACGACTAAGCTCACGTCTGTATTGGTTGCGATATTACTACAAAACGTCTGAAACAACAAGTCCTCCACTATAACTGAGCAAGGTGTGAGCAAAACAATTGTTGAAGCATCTCGTTACACAAAAGTCCTACTCACATGAGGGAATAGTTCCCTCATATGGCCAACAGAGGCACCACATTCAATTGTCATAAGCAATGTAGAGGAGAGTACATGAAAAAGGAGGCCATCTCAACACTAAATTTGAGGCATGGGAGGCAGGTATTATAAGTATAAGGATGTTAACCTAAAAAAGAGAGCGGGATTGTCCCACAAGAAGGGTAGAAACAAGAAAGATGAGCAACCTAATTTGGAAAGGAGAGCATGAAGAGGAGAAGAAGAAGAAGATGGGAGTCATTGTCCAAATACATTTTGCAATTTTCATGTGTCTTTTATGTTGAACTTCCTCAAGAAAGGATAAGGGATTAAGATGTTAATCCAATTAGATTCATTATTTCAGTACGAAGATAAACCAACGACCACACGTTTGGTAATGTTTTCAACGTGTACTTAATGTGACAACCTTTGACCATCCTAGATAATCGCACAATAAAGTCACCATAGCCAAGAAGATGAAAAAAGTTTCAGACTTCTCGGCCATTTACATGCTTCATTTTAATTTTTATGAAAATCAACTAAGATTCCACTCTACATTCCTTTCAATACATCCACAAACTCTCTTACTACTGGTATCAAGGCGATGCATGCCTTAGTCTGTCCACTTTCAACTATACGAGGCAATAGCTCCCGAAACAACTTCTTTGCCTTTAACGTGGAGACCATCTTAGGAACTGCTTCCTCATTAGACACCTTGAACTTGAAGCTTGGCTAGGTCGAGAGTCTAAATACTATCTCTTTATTAAAACCGTTTATGAAAGCTTGGTTTTGTATTATCCATTTCATTGATAAGATCACATGAAAATGTATTATATCTAAGACTATCAGTGTCACACTAAGACACAGACACTTCAGTCCTTTACCTTTTTAAAAGCTATCATATTTACCCTCACCCGAGTAGCAACTAACCTAGAAGCTCTAGTTATAACCCCGCGTGTTTAACAAAAATGACGTAAATGAAGGAATGAGTGGAGCCTAACCAAACAATTCTAAGCATATAGGTCTCCCATTCAATTTGACTACTATTAACTTTTTATAATATTCTCTTAGGAACATGTGAAAATAATAAATTTAAATACAAAGTTTAAAATTTTATTAATATTTGAAGAAATTTTGAATTTTAATAATAAAATTATAATATCAGGAGCGGCGTGAAGCATTACGCATAGCACGTAGAAACGCAACAGCAAAAAAGTTTCTCACATTCTCATCTCCATAAGATCTCGTTTCTGCAATTCCACATTGCCTGTGTCCGGAATGAATACGGTATTCTCTTCTTACTTCATCTTTGCTTTCTCCATTTAATTTCCCTGATTCTATATGCTGCTTCAATTGTACTGTTTGTGTTCTTTCTTATGTGAATTTGTTGTTTTCCATCGTTTTTTTTCTTTTTAATTTCAATTCTATCGTATGCATTTGGTGCTCCGGTGTGTAGATGATTGGGATCGTAAATTTGACCTGACCATGGATGGATGAAATCATTGGCATCTATTTTGTTTTGTTTTTTTTCCTTACATCACCTTCTCTTGGACAAGAGACGTACCTATCTTGTTTGTTGAATTTTTTCATTTTTCCTATACGTCGAGAAATGGTGATAGTTACGAAATCAATCTGTGCATCAATAGGCGTTGTTCTGAAGAACGCAAGGATGACAAAAAAGAGTAAAAGGAATGTGAATGTGGACGATGACGTTGTAATTGATAGATACTCTTATTGTTCTCTCTGGTGATCTTGTTCAAGTTGTTGCGACGGTATGTAATTAAGGCCACTTTTATTTCGCTTTATCTAGTACTCATGTTATTTAATCTAATTTAGTTTAATGGAAATCTAGGTCACATTGGGTTATTTCAAATGTACAGTAGGTTCGACTTCCGGCTGGTAGTTTTTCCAAACTCTTGGCTGGTTGTGATTACGAAGCCAAGGCCAACGATCCTATTTTGTTGCATCCAGCGACAGGGGCTAAGACATGTGCCGAGTCATTCAAGGAGGGGTGTCCGATTAATCAAATAAGGTATACTCCCTTCCTAGCATTGTGTATATTTATGGTCTAAATTCTGGAGTTTGATATTCTTTTGTCTGTGGCGTTTGGAGTGATGTATATGGTTGTTCTTAGCAGATTGTTTCCATGGTCACTCTTGGTACAAATGTAACCTTTTTCATAATTTATGTTAAGGAATTTTGAGTTAGAACTGAGGGATTTTTCCTAAAAGAAGTGCCTATCTGTGGTTGAGAAGGTTATGTTGTCTTCAAATGGCCATTTTTCATCTTGATTTTAGTTGGAAAGAATATTCTGTTCTCTCCTACTTGGTTTTATATACTAGACAAATTATTGCATAATTAGTTTCATGACAGTAGCTTCAGGAAAGTATCATTTATTGGCATTTTAATTAGCACTGGGCATCACATAGAAAGCTATAGTCTCTTGCTTAAAAATCCATATTTCAAGATGGGGGAAGGTTTTGTCAACCAAAGCATATCTTGAGATTGGTTATGACATTATAACCTTGGCAACCTTGGCCAAAAGTTTCGAGGTTCAAATTTCCATACTCACAATTGTTGAACTAAAAAGATAGATGGGGGTTTTCGAATTCTTTTGTGATTCATGTGCTCATTTAAATGCACGTGATTACCAACACAGATTTTAATTGTAAAAACAGTGACCTGGTCCAAGATCAAAATGGGTTTGGTCATGGTTCACTGCCTACTGTAACTGGGAAGCTTAGTGATGTTAGACCACTTTTGCGAGATAACGTTGAGAACAACCAGAGAGATGCACAGCAGAAAAGAGAGAATAAATTGCAAAAAGGTGAACTTTTGGTGCCTTCCTTGCATAGTTGTAGCACACTCACCCAGCATATGCTTCTAATATTTTAAGTTAGAGGAGCGATGGCCCTATTAAAAGAATAGTTAAGAATGACTCATGTATTAATTAAGATAACCTCCTGAAAGATGCCTACTAATAGTACTTGAAAAATAGTATTCGCTCAGCATACCTACACTACTAACTGTTTGTATGAATTATTTCGTTGGCATGCTATCTAAGTTTATGCATGTTGGTCTTTGTTTTGAAGTTTATCATATTCCTATTCATAATGACCCTATCTTCCCACCAACCTCCTTGCAGCTTGAAGTTGTCACTGGCGCTGCAATCAATTGGAGGTATGAAATAGCTTCTCCTAAATATATTTCTTTCTTTATGGCTGTTCAGCAAATAATTTAGGCTTATCTCATCTCCATGATGAGGCCATCAAAAGTAGTTCTGGTTCATAAAGTGTCATCAGTTCTTTTATTGTTGTTATCATTATTAATTTTGGTAAGAAATAATTTCATACCAAAAAGGGAACATGCCGTGTGGAGAATGGTTCTCTTACCTTTTTTTAGATTGATATTTGGTGGTTTAATTTTATTTTGTAACTAATTACTATCATGAATACTTTCGTTGATATTATTGCTATTACTATTTTTGGTAACAAGCAATTTCATACCAGAAAGGAAACATTCTGTGCGGCACACGCTCTACTTTATTTGAGATTGATATATCTGTTGGTTCAGTTTTATCTTGTAACCAATTACTCTTATCTCACTGAAGTGCTCCTTTTCTTATGGTTTATGTTAAATTATTTGATAGACAGGACCCAGATAACCAATTGAAAAAGGAGCAGGATGATCGTGGTCAGGAATTTGACATGCGTCAAGGACTCAATGTATGTCAGTTAAGCTTATTCAGGACCCGTGTTTTCTTGAGAATTAGATGTTATTTCATATGGGTGGACTATACTAAAGACTGACTACTTTTGTTTCTGTAGGTTGATCGAGTTCAATCCTCTTTATTGAGTGGTGAGTTCAAAGTGCTGTTAATGATATCTGGCTCACCTAATTTGCTTATAAAGCTTCTACGAAAGGGTTTTCTTAATATATGAACTAAATATAATTGCAGATGGTTTTTTATTTGAATTACTGATTTTGCAAATAGCACTACGGAGTTGTACTTTCAGTTACAACTTACCTACAATGTTAAATGCTCAATAAATTTTGACACCAAATGTTGTAGGATTAAGTGGTTATCTCTTGAAATTAGCTAGTTAGTGTAGGACCCTATGATTTTGCTGTACGGTTTTCGAATACCTTCCAGCGTGGATATTTCTATGTAATGTTATCATTCTTTGACCACTTGAATTGTAGATTTCTTTTTATGCGGTGGATTTTCGGCCTGATAAAGTAAATTCAGAGAATAATAAAAATTTAATAATGCCATAAAACAATTGTTTAGAGTATCTAATTGTTCTGCTCCCGCTCTTATTAAATTAGAGAAACCATGCACTGAAAGACCCATTTCACTCAACATAACGACGTATGCATTTTCAGTTGGTGTCTCAACTTCTTCACTTTTGTCTGTGGATAGTAGCATGGACTCCTGTCATAGTTCAATGCCGTCAACGATCGACATGGCCCCTTCTCATGGTTCAGAATCCAATAAAAGTGGCAAGGTACGTCGTATCCTTATCAGTTTATCACATCACTACTATAATTAAGAGATAGAATGTTCATGTGACATTTATCATATTATATTTATACCTATCTTTTCCAATGTTCTCAGCCAAAATCCCCTCAGATTAGTACAATCCCTTGAGTTAAAGAACTTTTTAATTTTCGCCTTTTCTTTTAGAAAAGAAGTATTTATTGATACAAAATTTTATTGGATGGACGAAATACAAGCCAAAGGCGTACAGAAATTATGGGAGTTGCTAAACGCTCTCCGGCACAAATCAAAGAAAAGCCATAGATGCAAAAGTCAGCTGTAGAAAATACCCATACTAGTTAAAAAACAAGGTTTAAATATACAGAAAGTTTGCCAATGATAAGACCAATTAAAAAGTTTGAGAAATTTCCTCCTCAATTTCTTACATAAAGGTACCAAAGGAAGAGGTAGTCGCCAATTCATCCTCTCTTTTACATATCACACACCAACTTGTCAAAAGATAAAATATTCTATGGTCGAGTCTAATTTGGATACCCAAACCTTCGAGAAGATGAGACCCACAAGCATCTTGAGGTTACAGACTTGAGTAAACAATTTGTATCACTACAATTGATTTCCAAGGGCTTTTCATGGTAGACAATGCTACTCATTGAGGACGATGCTACTCATTGAGTCAGAAACCCTTAGACGTTGAGTAGAGTTGCTGGTATTGATTAAGGAAGATGCCACTCACTGTTTGCATCCAAAACCATCAGCCACTTCTTTTCCATTAAGAATTTTTTTTTAGTTTCATAGGAGATTCAATTCTCTGACCTCTTGGCTGAAATTGTGTACCTAAACTAGTTGAGCTATTTTCAGATTGGCCCAATTACCATAAGAATTAATTTTTGAAGAGATTGCTAATCATTATAGGATCTTCCGATTAGCCAAAGAGAAAGGGAGTGTCATCAAAGGATCTTCCGATTAGCAAAAGAGAAAGGGAGTGTCATCAAAGAACTGAAGGTGATTGAACTAATTATCTTCTTATCCACTCGTAAAACCCTAAGATGGCAACATAGAGGAATACAGGAATATGGTTGGAAAGTTGGGCACTTTCCATGCGATAGGGAGGATGTAGGTATAGGCAACCCACAAGGTTAGGACTTTGTAATTATCCATAATATATTTTTATTTTTTGAAATCTTTGAAGAATCTGGCCATATCTCAATCAGATCATCTATTGAAAAATTAATGAAAAGGAAGGACACTCTAGAGGAAAATTTGATTATGCTGATGTGAAGAGGTAGTGTACTAGAGAAGGTAAAAATTTTATTGTGGAGTTGTTTATTTGAATCATTAAATGCCTGCTTCAGATACGTTAAGAATGCCAAATTGGCACCTCCTTTAAACTGGTGCGTGAGTTTAAATTCAAGATGCTGGTGTTCAATTCTGAATCGCCTATATGTTGGATGGGGTTTTCATAAATCCATGAAGGAATTTGCAGTGAATGGCAGGGGTTTTGGGGAAGACCTATTTAAATCAAGGCTATGGAAAAATGCCTGGATGGAAGGGAACTACATAATTTTTTCTAAATAGGGAAATAAAATGGGAGGGCGTATTTGAAAGGGATGCTCTTTACACTAATGATTTATAAATTATATCCCTTCTGCAATTAACTTAATTATAGAGCGTTCTGTTTTTTTTTTTTTTTTTTTTTTTTCAAGGTGTTCTACTCTTCAGGACTTTTCACTATATCTGTATAAAGTTATTTATGTTTTTCTTAACCAGAAACAAAATTTTCATTTGATATATGTAAAGAAATAAAAGATTTGGGGAAACAAACTCCAATAGGAAGTGTAAAGAACAAGCAACCATACGAAAAAGAAAGGAACTTCCAAAAATATAAGAAACCAAATAATACAATGAAGAACAAAGCGCCCAATGGAGAAACAGACACAATCCCTGAAGCAAAACCATGTCACTGAAGAGCCACTAAAGCTAGGCCTGAAAAAAGCATATTCGGCAACTAAACCACTGCATATAGTACAAAGGCTCGAATAGAGAACTACAAAAAATCTAGCTATGAAGACTGCTTCAACTCCCAAACGAACGAGAAAAATTTGAAAGCAATCTTGTTTCTGTTTTTAAAGAACGGAATATCTTCAATGAAAAATCCGGTATGTTGTTAGGTTTGCACCAACGAAGACCAAAACTTTTGATGAAGCCATACCAGAATTTCCTTGCAAAAATGCAGGTAAAAAATAGTGCCTCCTAGTTTTCAATGTCCTTTGTTAAAAAAATGCACTAAGGGGAGAAAGGCCCAATGAGGAGGCTGTTAGAGGACTCCGTCATTTGTATTAATTAAATGGAGAGAGAGTAATAAATTGAAAAATCTGATCTCATGAGGAACCTTAAGTCTCCAAATGCTATTAGCTGGATGTGGAGGAAAAATCCTTTGCTAGTGCATGAACAAATCTGTGTTCAGTCGCTCCTCTTTTGTCTGGAATTTGATACCCTATCACGAGAGTTTACATGTAGGCAAGTGAGGGAGGGTAGGGACACATGAGGAGATATGCTGGAATGATCTTTTTTTTTAGTTAGAAGAGGGTTAGGTGTAATGCTCCTAATTTTCTTGCCTAAACTAGAGTCGTCACTACATGCATGCTTTTAATAACATATGCGGAAATTTAAATAAAACGTTTCAAATGAAGCCGTGGACATTTAATTTAAAGTCATCTGTGCAGGTGTGCATTACCTTTACCTGAAAAATATAAGGGTAGCACGTGGTTTGAGTATTTTAAGAAATACTCAGTAAGTCACCCCACTGTTGGGGTTAGTAATGCAATCACACACATATAATGATGGGACCTATCCTTTAAAATCATAACATGACCTTGGACTCTTTTCAATTTCGAGCAGGGTTGGATGTGTAGTGTTTTCCCACACACAGTCTATGAACGCGCACATGGACCCACTAGCGGGCTCGTATACATACCCCTGAGTTTGGCTTGGTTGGGCACAATGTGTTAACACGTCGTCCGATGCCACAGAAAAAGAAAGGTCCGATGATATCATGGCGAACATAAATATCGATGGTACGCATCTGTACTAACATAACATAACAGGGAAGTATCCTAATGCATATGACATGCATATATGCATGAGATCCTCAGGATTTACATTCATAGCATTGCATTAACATCACTCCCTTTCTCCTTTCATCCATGACATATTACATAATATGCATCATGTATACATGACAGTCATCACATAATCCATCCCATATTTTTACATGGGAAGACATAACATGACATAGAGAGTTCTTTTCTATTCTAATTAGTATTAGATTAGTATTAGTTAGTGATCTCGGCTTAGTGAGTCCTTTCTTCCGTGATGAACTGTTGGCACCAGTCCTCCATTTTGTCTCTGTGGATTGAGAAGAAAGGGGACTCGGCGGCAAGAGGATTGTAACATGAAAAAAGCAAGGAGGTCAACCTCTTTCAAATATACAACATGGATTCTGTAATGGATTGTAACATGAGAGAAGAGGATTGTAACATGTTAGAAGAGGGTAGTTCAACTTCATTTCATTCGCAACATGTAATGGATTTCATTCACCTAATTACCACGTGAGTGTTTTTTTCCTGATCATCTTTTCCTTTTCGTACAAATTCATCATCAATTACACACTTGCCCTTATCCGTTGGTGTTTTTTTGTGATGAAGTGAATCCCCTCTCAGTGTTTATCTACATTTCCATTAGAGAAATCACCCTCTTGAGCTTCCTCTCGAATCAGTGTTTATCCACATTTCCATTAGAGAAATCACCCTCGGAATTCACTGCTTTGATACAAAAATTAATAGGCCTTGCTCAACCATTTCCTTAATGACCAGAAAGGTAACAAGTATAGTTTAGAGAGCTTCCCACCTCTCCCCATTCTCATAGAGAATAGCCAAAACAGCCATTAGCGAAAAGATACCCCTCCGTCAAGCAAACAACTATATGCTCTATTTCCCGTGCCTCTCGTCCAACTAACAAAATCCCTTGGACCCACACAACCATCCAAGCACACCCTCTTCACGTACCCATGCTCCTCTTCTAACTAACAAAATTCCTTGGGTCTACAGTCATTCAAGCAAACCCTTCTCATGTACCCCTACTCTCCCTCCCGCACCTACGTGTATAGACTCTCGTAATAGGGGGTCTATAGAATTTTCAGTCATAATTACTTTGGGCAGGAGGCTGAAGAATGACGAGGGTTAACCGTTCCTGATAAAGATCACGGTGTTCCAAATGTTCCAACTGGACCTATTACACGATCCAAGGCCAAGAAGATTCAACAAGTATTCATTCTTCATCTACAAAATTGGATTGACTCAGTTCAACCATTATTTCATGTGTTACAAGCTGATTCGATTGAGGAAGGATCATTTGAAGCTTTGGAAGTGAATATTTGCACGGTTGAAGTAGCGAATGATATTGCTATAAATTGCATTTGATTGATAAGTTATTAGAAAACTTTATTTATTATTTTTAATTTCATAATTTCTTGTAATAGGAAAAAGGGTGGGGGAAGTTATGTGTTACAAGCTGATTCGATTGAGGAAGGATCATTTGAAGCTTTGGAAGTGAATATTTGCACGGTTGAAGTAGCGAATGATATTGCTATAAATTGCATTTGATTGATAAGTTATTAGAAAACTTTATTTATTATTTTTAATTTCATAATTTCTTGTAATAGGAAAAAGGGTGGGGGAAGTTATTTGTCAAAGCGACTCCATTTTGTAGGGGAGTGGAAGTAAATTATGGCTATTAACTTCGCATTTGAAGAGTTCAAAGTTTCTTTTGTGGAGAGACTATAAATACCTACAAATTACTATGTAGAGCATCACCTTTGCCATCTTTGCCATTTCTAAGTTTCAAGCAATTTTTGTAGTAGATTTAATGGGTGACTCAATTTAGAACAAAATTTCAAATCTTGTTTCTAGATATTTGATTGTACGAGGTAATCTAATTCTAGCCTTATTTCTTGATTGATCCGAATTTTGTATAAAAAGGTGTTAATTTCTTGGATCGTTGGGCTGATAAAGCCTAATCCTCAGCCCAACGATCAAGCTTTTGATAAAGCAACAACCTTTGAATCAAAGAAATTAACACTTTACAAAATTCGGATCAACCAAGAGATAAGACTAGAATTAGATTATCTCTTAAAATCAAAGATCTAGAAGCAAGATTTGGAACCTTGTTCTAAATCGAGTCACTCCACAATCGCACTTGATCAAGATTTGATTGAATGACTTAATGCAATCTACTCCAAGAATTGGTTGAAACTTAGAAATGACAAAGATGATGCTCAAATTCTTGGAACCTTGTTCTAAATTGAATCACTCCACAAGTCGCACTTGATCAAGATCTGATTGTACAAGAATTGGTTGAAATTTAGAAATGACAAAGAAGTTGAAATTTAGAAATGACGAAGAAGATGCTCAAATTCTAAGGGTGAAAATCTGAGAGCTCAATTTCATTCCTCTAAAATCTGTCTTTTATACAATAATTTGGGGGTATTTATAGTCTCCCACAAAAAAAGAACTTTGAACTCTTCAAATGCCCGCTAAAAAAGTTAGTGGCCATAATTTACTCCCACTCCCTTTTGAATCTCTACAAGAGTCACTTTAACAAGTAACTTCTCCCACCCTTTTGCCCCTGCAAGAAATTATAAAATTAAAATAATAAATAAAGTTTTCAATTTATAGCAACTTCATCCGCTACTTCAACCATGCAAATATTCACTTTCGAAACTTCAGATTGTTCTTCCACAATTGAATCAGCTTGTAACACATGAAATAATAGTTGAACCGAGCCTATTTAATTTTGTAGGTGAAGAATAAATGTTTGTTGAATCTTCTTGGTCTTGGATCATGTAATAGGTCCAGTTGGAACATTTGGAACACCGTGATCCTTATTAGTTCCTCAAGGAACCACTTTGGGCAGGAGGAAAACCGTGTTGGCTTGATAGTACTGTTACTGCTGTTTGCATGACTGAACAGCTTAGAAAATTGGTAAAATCGCATCCTCTCCGTGAGTCCTTAGATCAACCTTGCTTCCTTCATCAGTCCTCATGAAATGTAGGCCGAGTGAAGGCATTTTTCCTATGGAATGTTGCACCGAGGACTTGTGCTACTAACCTACCGAACCTTGGTGTAGTTCCTTCTGACGTCACTTCCAGTCCACCAAACTGATTAGGATGGGCAACATTTTCCCATCCAACAAGATGATTCCTCTCGTTTTCTTGACAAAGGATCTATCAGTTATTATTTTTTTTCTTATTAAAAAAACAGATATTCAATCATAGATCCTGGTTTTCAAGGGTCTTCAAGAGGAAAGGTAGCAAATTGGGTAATTAGCGAGGACAAATTCAACTGAGGTAAGTTTTTTTCCCTTTGAAATATGAGATTTGGATCAACAACGGTGTTGAAATTTAGATAAATTTTCAGTCTTTTTCATACATCTTAATGAAACGTTTTCGATGTGAGGTAGGTTGTATGTGTTTTATGGACGGTTTATTACCTGTTGCAACGGCCTTTGTACATGTATGTTAAAGTGATGCTTCCTTCCAATGTTTCCTTTACTTTCAAATCCTGTTCAAAGTTGCAACTTTAAGTCTGGCTGCATAATCTTCAATTTTTGTGTATTCGTTTGCTAAGTTGAATCAATACAAAGTACTGTTTGGTTTACGACATTGTTTTCTTTTTGTTGGATACAGTATCCTTTTCTCTTAAGATGAATCTTAATGAAACCTTTTGATTGAATCTTCCTTTCATTTTATAAAATGGATGCCCAAGGGACTGCTTGATGTATTTTTTAAAAGTTGCTTAGACTGAATAAGCTTTTTAACACTGGTTTTTTAATTGTTTTTTAAATTTCAAAACTGTTTGAACATATCTTTATACAAGATAGGTCCTATTCATGGTCGTTAAGTTTGACCAATGGGGATGAACACAGATTGATGACTTTTGTAAGGTCGCAAAGTTATAATTGATATTTCTTCTCCGATGCCAAGTTTGTCCCATATGACAACTCAATATCTGGGTTTGGTGGCAACGTTGCTCAATTTTCCCAACCTGTACGTATTGTTTGGGCAGGTTTCTCTTGATCGGTTTGAAGTTCTTTGGTTTTTTCTGAGGTCAATTCATCATTTAGTCTGTTTTCATGATGTTGCTTCTCCCTTTGATTCTGAATTACCTAGTTTCCTTGTCTCATATTTCAGGACTTGGCTCAAGGTACGACAATCATCTCATCGATACCACCTTGCCCTTTGTTGACAGCACAGCCTGTTCAATATCCGAAACATCAAGGTGAAATTCTTGTTCCTGGCTAATGCCTGAACATTACTGCAACAGCCCAAGCCCACCGTGAGCAGATATTGTCTTCTTTGAGCTTTCTCTTTTGGGCTTCCCCCCGAGGCTTATGGATATTTCATTCTCCTCTCAAACCGATGTGGGATCTCACAATTCCCTTTTCATCGCTTAACTTTTCATCTTAACATCCTCGACCAATGCAGGAACTGCAGCAACACAAGCATTGCAGCTTTGTGTTCCTCAGCCATTCATGGCCAATGGACACCAACCGCTTGCCGCAGCGCCAAACGTCATTCCAGCTTTGCAGCCATCCTTCCCATTCAACCACCCAATGCAACTGCCAGAAGCTAATTCATTCTTCAACGCCAAGTTCTAATGAATTTGCTTCTTTTGTTAATTCTCAATGTAGTCAACCCCAAGGTTTTAGCAAAATTTTGATCCTCTTAAAAGTTATTTTCCCAATTTGTATTAATTATTAGCATTTTTCTTTTCATTGGATTGTTTCCATTCAAATCAAAGACATTTTACCTTTGATTGGTGGATGGGGCCTGTTGAACTATGTAAGTTATAAATTGAATGGTAGACTCTGGTTTTGATACAATTCCATTCTAATCCTTACACTTCCAATGGTATTTTAAATTTAGTCCTTACAGGTAAGAAGAAAAGACAGCCCAGAATACATTTTCAAAATTAAAGTACAAAAATTAAAATAAATGAAACCCAAAGTACATTTTAACCTAAGTAGTATTTGATTCATATGACCTTATAAATTTCATTAATTCAATTAAGCTGCCCAACAAAACCTTATAACTTAAGGCTCTTTTAGCTACTTTACTCTCCATATGTGAACTTGTTGTCCATATCCAAATATCCAACTAGAGAATCATCCAACTACACTATGTTAGGATTATACGTTGGGTAGCATCCAGAAAACAGCTACCCCCCCCCCCCCCCCCCCCCCCCCCCCCCCCCCCCCCCCCCCCCCCCCCCCCCCCCCCCCCCCCCCCCCCCCCCCCCCCCCCCC